CCCCTCTCGTCCCCCGCCACCTGCCTGGGTTGCATTCTTGACATACAGTTATGTGGAAAAGACTTGTAAATTCGGAAAGAACCATCATCTCCCCTACCTTCCTCCAACCCCCGCCCCACGCCATGCTGTTCCCCTCTGAGGCTCACACCTGCTGAATCACAACCCAGCAGCAGCCAGGCTCAGGAGTTGTTCAGTTGCTCAGTCGTGTTCAACTCTTTGGGACCCCATGAGCTGCAGCACGCCAGGCTCCCCTGTCCTTCACTATCTCCTGGAGTTTGCTCAAACTCATGTCCACTGAGTCAATGATGCCATCCAACCATCTCATCCTCTGTTGCCCCCTTCTCCTCCTGCCTTCAATCTTTCCCAGCATCAGGGTCTTTTCCAATGAGTCAGCTCTTATATCAAGTGACCAAAGGATTGGAGCTTCAGCTTCAGCATCAGTCCCTCCAGTGCATATTCAGGGTTGATTTCCTCCAGGATTGACTGGTTTGATCTCCTTGCAGTCCAAGGAACTCTCAAGAGTCTTCTCCATCACCACAGTTCGAAAGCATCAATTCTTTAGGGCTCAGTTTTCTTAATGTCCAACTCTCACCTCCATACATGACTATAGGAAAAATTATAGCTTTGACTATATGGACCTTTGTTGACAAAATGATGTCTGTTTTTCAATACGCTGTCTAGGTTTGTCATCGCTTTTCTTCCAAAGAGCCAGCATCTTTTAATTTCATGGCTGCAGTCCTCATTTGAAGTGATTCTGGAGCCCGAGAAAATAAAGTCTGTCACTGCTTCCATTGTTTCCCCATCTATTTGCCATGAAGTGATGGGACTGGATGCCATGATCTTAGGCTCAGGTGACTGTCCTACAAATTCCAGGGCAGAGCACTGGCCCAGAAGGTAGAATTTGTCTTCCTGCCCCTAAGTCTAGAATGCAGCCAGGATTATGCATGTTCCATCAGAAACTACAGGTGATCTTTTTTTTTTTTCACTCTTTTCAAATCCAGAAAATTCCTCCAGCTGCTGAATTAGGACCACTAAGAAAATGTTGGATTCCTGTTAAAGATGGGACTTTGCCTTTAAAAAAAAAGAAAAGATTTCACAAGTTTTCAAATACCATGGAACAACTGAACAAACTTAGCATGAAAGTGGGCCCTGAGGTGACCCCTGCTGGCCTGGTTGGAGGGGACATGAGCTTGGGGGTGGAAACCGGTGGGCTGGGATCTGGGAGTGGAGGAAAAGGGGGAGGCTTGGGAATAAAAAGGAACTCCTCTCTGGAGTGAGCTTCCCAGATGGCTCAGTGGTAAAGGATCCGCCTGCCAACGCAGGAGATGCGGGTTCTATCCCTGGGTCCAAAAGATCCCCTGGAGGAGGAAATGCAACCCACTCCAGTATTTTGCCTGGGAAATCCCATGGACAGAGAAACCTGCTGGGCTAGAGTCCACGGGGTCGCAAAGAGTCAGAAACGACTGAGTGATGGAGCATGCACACACTTTTCCCTGAGATATCAAAACTAGAAAATGCCAGGCTGGCATGCTTGTGGGCTGTAAAAAAAAAAAAAAAAGCGGTGGTGATGGTTGGGGGGCGGGGTAGGTTTGGGTGCCTGTGTGACAGGCCGCTCCCCATCATACCTCCTGCGATCCTCACAGGAAGCCGCCCGGGGCCGAGTCATCGCTTTCATTGTGCAATCGAGGAAACTGAGGCCCGGGAGACATAGGGACGTGGCCTGGAGTACGGAGAAGCTGCCAACCCCACCCTGAGATTAAACAGGCAGGATCCGCTATGGGCGGTGTCTGCTTTCTAGCAGCTTTCTTCTCCTCCTCTGCAAAGAGGTCTCGTGGGGGCTCAGGCTTCCCTAGAGGGAAGTAAATGTCAATTTAGCTGTGCTTAGTCGGGGAGGGTTATCACGCTCCAGATAAAGTAGCTGTAATTCCTACTTCTGCCAGCAGGGGGTTTGTGTCCCCAGAAGCTCTCCTCTGGCATGAAATATCTTTATTTTGATACCAACCTAATGGATGAAAAATACATCCTGGCTTTTGGGGAAAAAAACAAAAAACAAACCACTATCTTTTCCGTTTAAAAGTAACACATACTCATTAAACACACTTAGGAAACTATAGTCACAAACTGTTCTGCTCCCAATGCCTGGAACAGGTGGTCCACAAACATCTGTTGAATAGGTGAATAAGGAGAAAAAAACAGCACGGTCTACTGATAGAAACAGTTCTGTGAACGTTTAGGTGTGTGTTTTTCTCTGAGCGTCCCCACCCCCGCCCCAAGGTTGAGATTTGTTTACATTCATTATGGTCTCCTGGGGAAGACACTGTTTTTATCCTGTTTCTTTCACTTCCCATCATTTGACACAGGCTTCCCTCTTTCAGGTAACATTTTAAATATCTCAGTAATATCTTGGTAAGTGTGTGAACCACAGTTTATTTGAATCTTCTTCTGTTGAACTTTCAGGCTGTTTCCAATTTTTCTCTTGATAAATGATGGGGCTGATATCATTATGCAGAGAGCTGTTTGCAGATTTCAGCTTGTTTCCTAAGGAGAAAGTCTCAGAAAAAAGATGAACTTGGTCAAAGGGTTTTTTTTTTTTTTAATCTGATTTCATATTTCTTAAGTATGATGCACCTTATGAAACAACTTTATATCTGCTGGGAAACCTGGTTAAGTTCTTTTTTTTTTTTAATATTTTTAAAAAATGACTTGTTCTGAACAATATCCCGAGCTTTCAGAAAACAGTGGCGGATATGAAAGGAGATTTGTTCCCTGCGAGCTCTTAGGGGGAGATCTGGCTCAGGAAACAGACACATCAGATGCGTGCATTTATCTGATGGTTGCCATGGGAACAAGTCATGTAACACAACGCTCCGGTTAGAGCACTGATCAGTAAGGGAGGGGGGAGATTGAAACAAATTAGCTGGTGTGTCAGCCAGCGGAGAGATAACAGCGATAATACAGAATGTTCTGTCTGCCCCCCTCCTGAGACAGGGGTCCGGGAACACGAGGCAGGGCTGGGATGCAGGGCAGAGAACAGAGTCGTAGCAGGCTGAGGAAAACTGTTCCCCAAATCAGATGCTGGGGCAAGAGGGGGCCCCAAGACGAGACTGGGGAGCTGGGCTCCCAGGGGCAGGGGGACAGAAGGTTATTCGGGAAGCAGCTGGGGTAGACCCCAGGGTCTGGGTACCACCTGTCCAGAGAGGACCCGTGACTAGCAGGGCCAGTCCCGGCCCCAACTCTCTGCAGGGTGATGGGAATCCAACAGCAGACCCACCCTCGCGTGTGCTCCGGGACCTCCCAGCCCGGGCACATCTGGTGATCTGTGCTTCAGCCTGGGTAGACAGCCGAGACCCAAGTGGCTGGGGCGTGACTCCAGGGTCAGATCACAGCTCGGCCACTTGGCAGGCTCCTCACCTGTAACAAGTTGGGAAGATGACGGGAATGTAGCCTTAGATCAGGACCCGGGGAATAAGGGGCACTCAGTGGCCATTGCTGTGACAATCATCTGAATGAGAGGCAGAGTCTGATGGAAGTGAGGGAGGGTACTCACCAAGAACTGTATCCTGAGGGTGGACACAGGATCAATGCGGGGAGGGGGCTGTGTTTAAGGACCAAAGAATGGCATGGTATTTGGCCGAGGTTCCTTGGGTAGCAGGACCAGTACAAAGCGAGGGGATGAGGGACCAGCCGTGGCCGCACCTGTCCACCTCTGACCCTGAGGAAGTGGGGAGGCAGGTAGCACTGGTCCAGGGGACAGTGCGCATCCTGAAAGTTCTGGGATGACTTGTGGAGAAGTTGACTCAGACCAGCTGCGCTTCCCAAGGCCATCAGGCTGGGAGAAGAGGAAGCAGGTGGGGGGTAGGGCTTCAGGACCTGTCATAGGCTGTCTCTCAGAGGCTGCCCAGCGTGGTTGGGGTGGGGGGTGGAGACCCTCCCCAAATGGGTGTTAATTAGGACCCAATCGTCAAAAGGCAATTGAGCAACATGCATCCCAAACCTGAAACTGTCCCGGTTTCTGGTTCAAGAGTCTGATTCCGGGAATCCTTCCTAGGGGAACAGTCCTAAATCCCAAGATGCCTGCTGCGGCATTATTCATGACAGGAGCTGGAAGCACCCTCTCTGCCCACATCACGCAGGGCTTAAGTCAACAACAATTCACTTCCTTGCTTTAACTCAGGTGTCCACCAAAGGTGCGGCCCCTGACCCCATGCCTTGTGTTCTGGGCATGTATGGGGGTGGGGGTGGCATCCCCACCCCCACCCCCGCTTGTGGGAACCAGAAGAACCTGGGCTGGCTGTCCAGTGGTCAAGGGCTCAGACCCTGGACTTGGCAAGCCTTGGTTCCAACCCCTACCCTCCCTTCCTTATTGTTGAGCTGGGCAAGTGCCTCAGTGTTCTCAACTGTAGGATGGGTGCAGGGAACTGTGCCTACAGCAGGATGCCTGTCAGGGAGTCAGCCCTCAGGAAATGATAACCTTACCCGTTCCTACTGTGTCTGTGTGCCTGGAACAGGCTCGGGGGCGGGGGGGGGGGTTGGGGGGGGGTGCAATTTGGAAACCCAGCTGTTACCCAGGCCACTCGGCAGAGGGAGAAGAGAACAGCCTTTGGCGCCCAGTACAGCTGGTGGGCTAGACTCAGCTGTGTGACCTCAGCCAGTCACCTGACGTCTCTGAGCTTCACTTGGCTCCTGTGTCAAGTGGGGATTCCTTATCTCGGGGTGGGGGTGGGGGGCGCTAAGCGCGGCGTGGGGGGATTGGTGCTGATAGCTCAGCAGGGAGCCCTGGCCAGCCTGACGCCAGCAGGAGCTGCATTTTCCCTTTAGTGGGGAACGGGCTCTTCCAGGGTCAGTCACCCCACTCCTAACAGACTTGGGCCGCGGAATGCATGCGTGTCGCGGGGGGACCGTCTGCCAGGCGCGGAGTAGGGGGGCGGCCCTCGCCCCTAGCGGGATGAGCGGCTTCTGGAAAGAGCGGCGGGAGCCTCGCGCGGCCGGCAGGGGGCAGGATGTCCCCGCGAGCCGGCCGTGTCCTCGCGTCACCCCGCCGCCTCCAGCCCCCCCCGCGCCTCATTAAAGGGCCCAGCGGCTCATTTCTGCGGAGGGAGCGCCGGGCGGCCCTTCCCTGGGGAGCCCTCTCCATCAACGCCGGGCCCCATAATTTACATTTAATTTGTGAGCGGTTTAAGGTTTAATTTTTAAAAAACCGAATGATTCATTACCATATTAATAAATAATAACATTTATTATTCTCCTAATGAGTGTCCGACATACAAAAGCAATTACATGTCTTATGTATTTTCTCAGGAGTTGAGACAGCAGACCGTTAATTACGGAGATTCACGCGCCGACCATGTTCTGATCCGGGGTCCTGATCCCGTCTTTGTCTCGGTCTGAACCAGCTCCCCTCTCCCACACACACCTCCCCCCAGCTTCTACAGCCCCGGGAGTTCAGCGGGGAGGGGGTGGGTCCCCGACCCTGCTCTAGTTTCCCCAGGCCCCCAAGCCTCAGATCCCTGGACCCCCGCAGGTGCCAGGCCACTGTCCCCCCTGCCCTATCCTTCCGCGGCCCCCTCCCCGACGCTAGCCCGAGGGGGTTGGAAACCGAAGGCCTGAGAGAGTCAGGAAGGACCTGCCCTCCCCAGGTCGTGCCCCTGTGCCTGGTTCCTTCCTTCCTTCCGCAACTGCCCACTGAGGGGTGGGGTTGGGGGGGTCCTCGTGGCTGCGCATGTGGGGACCCTGAGTCTCGGGGGAGGAGCTCGGGGACCCGCGGTCGGTGCTGGGCAGAGCCGGAGCTCCTCGTGGTCTTTTGGCCCCTGCAGGTCAGAGCAGGCCCTGCTCAGGCTCTGAGGGCCGCGGGGGTGTGTGTCTGTGTCTGTGTGTTTGTGTGTGTGTGTGTGTGTGTGTGTGTGTGTGTGTGTGTGTGTGTGCACGAGCTTGCTTAGTACTGACTCTGCGACCTGTGTGTGTGTGTGTGTGTGTGTGTGCGTGCACTCAGCACTGTCTGACTCTGCGACCTGTGTGTGTATCTATGTGTGTATGTGTATCTGTGTGTGTGAGCGTGCACGCAGTCTATACTGTCCAACTCTTTGCGACCCTATGAACTGTAGCCCGCCAGGCTCCTCTGTCCATTGGATTTCCCAGGCAAGAATACTGGAGTGGGTTGTCATTTCCTTCTTCAGGGGATCTATTCCATCCTGAGGTGGAATCTGTGGTCCCTTGCATCTCCTCCATTGGGGGTCTGGACAAGTCCACAGTGAGCCTACGCCCCTGGCTGGTTCATTGTAGCTTTCCTTCTTCCCCTGTCAGAAAGCTGTTCTCGCTTATTTTGGAAAATGTAAAAGTTTGAGATAAAGGAAAACCAGATAGCAAAGTAAGCCAGCAAGCAAGTCTCCATAGTCCATCACCAGGGGCAGTAGGAGGGCCCAGAGGTTGCTATGTCCTGATATTTGAAAGGGTGTCCCCCACTCCCCTGACCTTAGACCCTCATCCCCTTTTGGGAGGGCAAGGTCTTCCCTGCTTGGGGCTCAGGAAAAGGAGGTCAGAAATGGAGGCCCATACCCTGGTCTGCATCCCATAATATGGGTTTTTCATAATATGGAAAACTACCAGGAAATCCCCCACCTCGAGATCACCAGGCATTTGGGTTTGTATCCATCTGGGACTTTTTCTGTGCAAATGCTCAAAAACAGACTCTCTTTCCCCAATAGGCAGGAGATCGTACTCCACATGCAGTCTCCTATCTTGATTCTTTTTTCACTTACATTTTATCACAGGCATTTCCCTATGTCAGAGAGTCAGTCTTGAAACACCAGCGTTTGCTCAGCTGTGTAGTATTCCACCGGTGTGCTGGGCTCCGCTGGGCCCTGCTGTCTTCTGGACCTTTCCCCTTTCACAGCAACACTAGAGCGGCTGTCCTTGTGCGTGAGGATTCCTCTGTCAGAATCCTCGATTACCTCCTTAGGGTCCGTTCCTAGAAGTGGCATTGCTGGGTCAGAGGCACGAGTGCCTTGAAGGCTGCTGGCCCCCTCCGCCAGCGTGCCTGCCAGCAGGGCACACCCATGCACATTCCCAGGGCCCATATCATAGCGCCACCCTTGGCGCCCTCACCAAAGCTGACTGAGTTATCAGCTGATGAGCTCTTTGCAGCACAAACCATTTTCAAGGTGCTGTTCTACTTGTCCTTTCACTGGCTTATCCTGGGAAGCCTGGAATCTAGGCAGGCTGGTCTTGTTCTCACTACTTCATAGATGGAGCGACTGAGGCCACTGAGGTCAAGTGCATTTGGCTTGTGAGACTTTAGAGTCTCTTTTAGATCTCAGAGGTCATTAAGGCCTCCTTATGTTTCAGATGATGGAGAAAGACTCAGTGAGCTGTGACAGGGAGAGCACTGTCTCTGGAATCTGTCTCTCCACCTACCCAGCCACTCATCCATCCATCCATTCATCCACCCATCTATCCACTTACCTGCCACCCACCCATCTACTTATCCATCCATCCGCTTACCTACCCATCCACTCATTTACTTATCTGTCCATCCACCCATCCATCCACTTACCTACCCATCCACTCATCCATCCACCCATTCATCCACTAACCCACTCAGCCACCCATCCATCCACCCATCTATCCACTTACCCACCACCCACCCATCTACTTATCCATCCATCCGCTTACCTACCCATCCACTCATCTACTTATCTATCCATCCACCCATCCATCCACTTACCTACCCATCCACTCATCCATCCACCCATTCATCCACTAACCCACTCAGCCACCTATCCATCTACCCATCTATCCACTTACCCACCTATCTACCCATCTATTTATCCATCCACCATACATTCATCTATTCAATAAATATTTACTGAAAACCAGCTTTGATTTAGGCCCAGGTACAGGGAACTTTACATGAACAGCTCAGGCTCTGGCAGAGAAGGCAGACCAGAATGAAATGACCACACCTGTGATGAGTTATCCGCAAGGCGAGGGTTAGGCTGTCACAGCAGCACACAACAGGGAAGCCAGAGCGAGCTGGGCAGGGGTCAAGGGACCCTCCTTGAGAAGGGTGAAACCTGGCCCCCACTGGCATGCTGTTTGTGACCTTGGGTGAGTCCCCGCGTCTCCCAGCCTGCTTCCTCTTCTGTGTCAGGGAGGAGCCAAGCCTTGGCTTTGCTGTGGGCTGGGAGGCCGGTTGGTTAGGACAAAGGGGCAGGTCAGGGGGTGAATGGGAGCTACATTTGGGTGCTGGTTATTCTCAAAGAGTTGGAACTAACTAGGGGTCAGTGCCAAGTACCATCTTGCTCAATCCACACAGAGTCACAAGCTCTCCTTTATTATTGTTATTAGTACTACTACTACCTTCTGATTTTTTTTTCAGTAAAGCAAAAAGTCTATGATCAATTATGATTATATAAATCATCAGGCAAGTTTTATTGAGACCAGAACTATTTCACAAACAAACTAGTCTTAATTTGGTTATATTTGGTAAAAAATGAGGGTAATTAGGAAGAAAAAGGTGTTTCAGTGAATGTTAAATCCCAATTTGTTAATGGAGGTCTGCATCTACTAAGAGTCATTTTCTGGATAGTTCTCTGCTGTTATGGTTGTTGTTCAGTCCCTAAGTCCTGTCTGACTCTTTGAGACTCCATGGACTGCAGCACACCAGGCTTCCCTGTCCTTCAGTATCTTCCAGAGTTTGTTCAAACTCACATCCATGGAGTCGGTGATGCCATCCAACCATCTCATCCTCTGTCGTCCCCTTCTCCTCCTGCCCTCAATCTTTCCCAGCATCAAGGTCTTCGCCAATGAGTCAGTTCTTCGCATCAGGTGGCCAAAGTATTGGAGTTTCAGCTTCAGCATCAGTCCTTCCAATGAGTATTCAGGACTGATCTCCTTTAGGATGGACTGGTTTGATCTCCTTCAGTCCAAGGGGCTCTCAAGAGTCTTCTCCAGCACCACAGTTCAAGAGCATCAGTTCTTCGGTGCTCAGCCTTCTTTATAGTCCAGCTCTCACATCTGTACATGATCACTGGAAAAACCATAGCTTTGACTATATGGATTTTGTTGGCAAAGTGATGTCTCTGCTTTTTAAAATGCTGTCTCGGTTTGTCATATCTTTTCTTCCAAGGAGCAAGAGTCTTTTAATTTTGTGGCTGCAGTCACCATTCACAGTGATTTTGGAGCCCAAGAAAATGAAATCTGTCACTGTTTCCACATTTTCCCCGTCTATTTGCCATGAAGTGATGGGACCAGATGCTGTGATCTTCACTTTGTGAATGCTGAGTTTTAAGCCAGCTCTTTCACTCCCCTCTTTCAGTTTCACCAAGAGGCTCCGTAGTTCCTCTTCACTTTCTGCCGTTAAAGTGGTGTCATTTGCATATCTGAGGTAGTTGATATTTCTCTTGGCAATTTTGATTCCAGCTTGTGAGTCATCCAGCCTGGCATTTTACATGATGTACTCTGCAGATAAGTTAGATAAGCAGGGTGACGGTATACAGCCTTGACATACTCCTTTCCTAATTTTGAACCAGTCGTTTGCTCCATGTCCAGTTCTAACTGTTGGCTTCTTATCCTGCAGACAGATTTCTCAGGAGGGAGGTAAGGTGGTCTGGTGTTTCCATCCCTTAAAGAATTTTCCACAGTTTGTTGTGATCCACACTGCCAAAGGCTTTAACATAGTCAGTATAGTAGAAATAGATTTTATTTTTGCAATTCCCTTGCTTTTTCTATGATCTAGGGGATGTTGGCAATTTGATCTCTGGTTCCTCTGCCTTTTCTAAATCCAGCTCGTACATCTGGAAGTTCTTGGTTCACATACTCCTGAAATCTAGTTTGAAGGATTTTGAGCATAATCTTGCTAGCATGGGAATGTAAAATTTAATTGAACTATTAAAGGGCACTCCAAATTTGTTACTGAAGCTTATCTCAGTAATCTATCTTTGGATGAAAATCAGATGCCTCATGACCTGCAATCAGGACTAGAAAAAGACATGACTTAAGACACTGTCTCTGACTCGGCACTTTGTAAATTTTTATCATGGGCCAGGCATTATGCTGTCATGTATTAATCCATTAAACCCACCACCAGCCCAGTCGAATAGGTAGAAATCGCCAAATCCACTTTAACGACAAGACCACTAAGGCTCAGAGTGGCGAGGTAACTTACCCAGGGTCATGCACCCAG